TGCAGCTTCTAGGCTATGTAGGGCTCCTCCTCTCTACCTTAATTCCCACCTCACATCTCTGATACTTTCATCTTTGGAAGTTTGATTGTGAACTTTTATGAACCCTCTCTTATTTATTTGTTTGTTTATTTTTTTGATACTAGGAATCAAAGCCAGGGCCTCATGCATGGTAAGAAAGCACTGTAACCGGGCTGGGGATGTGGCTCAAGCGGTAGCGCAGTCACCTGGCACGCGTGTGGCCGAGGTTCGATCCTCAGCACCACATACAAACAAAGATGTTGTGTCTGCTGAAAACTAAAAAATAAATATTAAAAAAATTCTCTCTCTCTCTTTAAAAAAAAGAAAAAAGAAAAAGAAAGCACTGTAACCTAGATCTTTGTATTTTATTTTGACACAGGGTCATGCTAAGTTTCCCAGGCTACAATTGAACTTGCAATCCTGCTTCAGCCTCCTGAGTAGTTGGGATTATAAACTTGTGCTACCATGCCTAATTTTTTATTTTTGTCTTTTAGGTGTCTTATGGAACCTTCTGAATGTAAGGAATTAATTTACAATAACTGTCTTAGTGTTAAGTTAATCTGTAGTTTTTTTTTTATGTTGTAATGTGTTGCATTTTCCTGAATATTTGGCAATTTCTTATTTGATGCCATTCATTATTCACTGATAAGGTCACAGACACTTCCAAATACTCTGTCCAATGTCCAGAAAATGTGTCTTTCCAGCATGGACAGTGGGAACAGACACTTTTTCTGGCCCTGGGTATCCCTAGGTACCATTGTTCCCTCTGGTGCTTTTGGACTATCTTTTCCTTGTCCTGGGATAGTGTTCTTCGTGTGTGTACTGATGAACTGAGGACTCAAGAGGTGCCCTCTGGATCTCCAGTGCTGTTATTTTCAGCTACCTTATCTATGTGCCTTCATCTTGAATATTCTTCTGTTGTGACCTCTCCAAATACATGTCTGTCCCCTCAACTCCCTAAGGCTTCTAGGCTTTGTAGGGCTCCTCCTCTCTGCACTGTGTCTTAGGAATTTCCAGGAAAGAAGATGGACCCCTTTATGCCTCTCTTCTTTCATTCCCTTTCTATCAGATTGCAATCTCTGTCATATTGCCCTATGTCTGAATGTCTCTTTTTTCATGTTTATATGAATTTCTAGTGTTTCCTACTCCATTATGGCTCAAAGGAGAGGTCAATGAACCTAATTTTTGAAAGAAATTTGAATTCACTTTATAATTAAATGTGGTGTTTTTGGAAAACAGCTAGGTCATTGTTACTTTCCTATATTCTGTAGGCAAGTTGAAGGTTGACATACTTTTCTTTATTCATAATACTAGTTATATGTTATTTTCTGTTTTAAAATTCAGATATGGACATCTTATGAGCCTCTTTTTTCCTATCTGTTGTTTCTACTCATTTTGATCCTATTATCATTTTCCACTTGTACTTATACATTTCTGCTCTGAGCTTCTCGTTTCCTTTTGTTATAAATTGTGTAAATTGTTAAACTCATTGGTTTAATATGGATTCCTATAGAAATCTTTATTTCCTCCTTCAAATTTTGAGTCAACACTGACCCAAGACATCTATTAAAAAAAAAAATCATGTTTTTTGACCCTAACTTATAAAGCCAATCAGGACAACAAACCTATAGGAGTATGGGGTGGCAACTACAAATTCTCAAAATCAGTTGCGTTTCTACCTTTTATTTTTTCTGGCTAAAATTAATTTCCTAAGAATAATTTTGGGTGGTAAAATAAAAAATTTTCATTTCTTGCTCAGAGGATATAATTTTTGTTCCCGAGATTTAATGGAAAGCCAAATTATCTCCTATTCAAACTATCTCTGAAGATCATACCTGTGTTCTTGTTATAATTAAATGTATGGTGTTCCTAAAGCCCATGTGGTAGAAACCTGGTCCCTGGGTGGTGCTATAGGGAGATAGTACAATCCTTGAGAGGTGGGGCCTAGTGGGGAGGGGTCCTGAGGACATTGGGGACTGTGCCCTTGAAGGACATTGTTGAACACCCACCCCCTTCTTGTTCTCCTTCACTGCCTGGTGAGGAGGTGAGTGGTTTTGGTCTGCCCAGTGCTCCCAGCATGATGTGCTGCCTCACTACAGGTGTAATGTGACAAGGTCAATCATGGACTTCACCCTCCAAAACTGTGAGCAATAACAAACCTTTCCTTTTTACAAGTGAATTGACTCATGTGGTTGGTCACACTGATGGAAAACAAACATAGTAGTATACCTTAAGTAAGAAAAAGCTAAGTTTTTTCCAGATTTGGCAAATGCCTTCAGGATAAGATAAACTTTTCTCCATGAATTCCTGCCCACTTTTATATTTGCAGCTAAAGGATTGCTCTTTCTTATACTTCTCTATATTGAGATTCTTCTTCCATTTTATGTCTTCTTTTTAGGTAATTTTAGTGGAAGGGGCAGCCTTAAAACCACGTTACTGAAAATAGAATCACCATGAACTACTGATTCCTTCCTGCTGTTGATCTGACACTATGCAGATGCTGGAATACTATTTCATATAGAGCAATGTTCCTAAAAAGTGTACTGTGTACACCAGGACTGGACTGTGAAATGTTTGTTAACAACCCATAAGACACATACTTTGTGCCAGATTGACACCCGTCAAGCAAAAGATGCATATTTGCATCAAGCCCTTGGGTCTGCTGAAATCAGTTGATTATCAGCTGTTGGTATAGCAGTTTGAACACCTCAGTTCAATATCTAAGGGCCTGAAAAAGTCTTCTCTTCACACATGCCTTTTCCAATCTTCTCTTCTTCATTGATGCAACTCTTATCTTTCTGATTACAGTGTCACAAATTTGTGGTGTTCTTCTTTCTCATACCTCAGTTAAGTTCATTAGGAAGTGCTGTAAAGTCCATCTTCAAAATGCTTATGACATCCAAACACTTCCACTATTTCCCCTGCTCATACTCCAGGCAAAGTGATGACATCACCAGCATAGGACTGATTAGTTCCCTACAGTCTCCCTGCTGACTTGCTAGTCCTCCCATCTCAGTTCTTTTCTCAGTGCAACAGTTAAGAGTGATGATTTGAAAAGATTCACCATGTCTGTCTCTGCTCAAAACTGCCTCACTCAATGCAAGATTCTTTCCGTCAACCTCCAGATCTTGTGACACTGGCTGTGCCTCTGAGTTCTTCTCAGTGACTCTGCTCAGGACATTCTAGATTCTTGCTCTTCCCAGAACACACACAGGGGATCCCACCCTGGTGCATTTGCACTGGAGTTTCTTCCTACTTAGAAAGATCTTCCTCCAAACATCCTAACAAATTCCTTCATGTCCTTCAAATATATCCTCGAATGTCACCTTGCTAACAAGTCCCTAGTAAAACAGCCATCTTCCCTGTTCTGCATACCCACTCTGAGATTGTTACCGCTGTTGACTGGTGACGAGTCCTTGCTTCCCCAATGTTGAAGAATAACACCAGAGAGCACGCCGAGGCAAGGTCAGAGTAGAAATTATAAGTTTATTAAAGGACAGCAGAAAAGACTTCTCCCGGAGGAAGAAGGGGACCCAAGAGGTGGAATCCGTTGAAGGGCGAATGTGTTCCCCTTTTTATAGGTTTGGTGAGGGGGAAGGGCTGGGACACAGGTGGGCCAAACAAGTAATCTGGGCAGGAAGGACTTCATTATCACTTCTTTGGGATGGGCTTATCACTTCTTTGGGATGGGCTATCTCCAAATCTGTTGGGGGCTGTTTCCTGGGTTCCATTAACATTTCTTTGGGGTGGACTTTGGCCTAGGGCCTTTCCGGGACTTCATTAACATTCCATGAGTTGTCCTGCGTTTCCCAGAATCATTATCAGCATGGCCTCCATTTTAGATTTCACTCGATATGATATTAGACCCGATTTACCTAACTACACTGACTACCTAATTTTAAATCTGGCTTCAAGATCTGCCTTGCAACACTTACCATCTAACATGAACACTGTCCTTATTTACTGTGCTTAGAGTATTTCCCCTTACTCTTTCCTATAGAACACAGGCTCCACAAAGTTGACAATTCTGGCCTGTGTTCAATTCCCTCATGTATCCTAGATGAAAACTGAGTGTCATCTATTCAGTATTCAACAAATGAGAGCTGAAAGAATGATCAGTGTATTCCCCTCCCTCCTCTTACTAATAAAGCCTTAGACCACATGCTGTGTGGCATCTGCCGCACACTAAAGTCAGAGCCATTTGGGCTTTTCTCACAAGCGCTGCCCTCCTTCCCTCCACACCATCCCTCCTGCATTCCACAGCACCTGTTATGGTCAATTTGAATTATCAACCTGGTTGGATGAAGAAATGCCAAGGTATTTGCACACAGGTATTTGCTGTGCTGAGTCTGCTACAGTGGGGACAGGAGAAGGATGAAAGCAGCTGAGGATGGACAAGGTGGCACCCAGTCTGTGCTCAGTCCATCCTGGGCTTTGATGTGGTCAATGAGGGTATATCTAGGAATGATTGGCATGTGAGATAGCCAACTGAAATGGAGACACTCCCTAAATGTGGGCAGTATTGACCAATAGGATGATGACTTGGATGGAATAAAAATTGGAAGGACAAGGAAGCAGCAGCAGTTGCAAGCTTGATTCTTCTTGAATGGGTTCTTTCCCCCTATAGTGAAAAACAAGTTTATCCTTTAAGTGACCTATATGCTGGATTCAAAAGAGCCAATGAGATACCTGTTACTGTGCTAGGAGGGAAACTGACCACTGTACCCTATAAAAGATCTGTACCCCAAAGCCCGGTGTGCCAGTTCACCAAAGCTCCAGCTGAGGTTTCGCTGGGCACCCACAGGCGTCTGTGTCTGAATAAACCTCTTGCGTTTGCAGCCAGTGCCTCGTGCGTCTTTCTTGGACAGGGAATCGGTGGGTCTTTCACTCTGAGCATTTCTGTGTTACAGTGGCACTTGTCCAGAACTGGTACCTCCCCATAGCTGGGGAGCTTTAAATGTACCAGTGAAAAAAGTTTTTTCCCCTTCAAGGGGAAGGAAAAAAAAAAAAAGATTACTCCTCAAAACCCAGCCAGTCTGGCTGTGAGGTCTTTCACTCTGTCCCATCTCTTCAGGCTCTTTTTTTTTTTTTTTTTTTTTGCTTTGCTTCTTTTTCTTTTACTTTTTTGCAGTAGAGCAAGAGAGACCAAAACCTAACCTGAGATACAAGAAACAAGACAGTGATGGCTATAAAGGGAGTAAACAAGGAGCAACTGAGATACTCCTTTACCTCCCACATCCAATGTATGTGCTTCACAGAAAATCAACAAAAATAACAAACCCACAAAATACAACAACTAGAATTACAAAACCCATTCATCCAAGGTTGCTAGAAGGCAGGAAGGAGAGGTGGGAGGGTAAATGGCACAGGGAGAAAAACAAAGTATTTAAATCAGTCCAGGCACAGGGGCTGGCAAATGCTAGAAAACAGCTGCAGAAAAACCTGTGGTCCTTTCAGACTCACGGTGGTATTAAAAATCCACATACTGGTGTCAGAAAGATCCTGCCTCCCATGTACCAGAGACAAAAATTCCTCAAAGAGAAGGGAATACACAGAGGGCCCTTGGCAGAGTGGGTCCTGCCTTCCCTAGCCAGGAGAGGATAGAGAAAAGAGCTGCCACAACTTCTTTCCAATCCACCCATCCCCTTTAGATGACAGGCAACTCAATGGCCCACAGCAGCCTTCAGTTTGGCAGGAGATGGATGCGGTGAAGGGAACTTCTCTGCAGACGTTGAGCTACTCAGGGCAGACTGCAGATAGACTGTCTTGTGGAAGAGTCTGTTGCTTAAAAACACCACTAAGGAGAACAGGCGCAACTGGAAAAGGTATGCTTTTCCAGGGGTCTTTGCTTCATTAGCACTGATAATGAATAAAGGAAAGAGAATAGAGAAGAGGCAGCCACTGATAATGTATGAGGACTGCATTGCTGTGAGGAAAGCCAAGGGCAAACCAAATCCAAAGTAGTAAGGCCAATTCCTTTCTATGTTTGACAATCGCTGGTGCATTTCAATTCCTTTATTGAACCAATGATATTCAAAGCAGTACAGTGAGTAGAGAAGGGACATATGCAGCAAACTGACCAGCTGACCAACAAGATGAATGGGAAAGAGACTCACAAACATTCCCTGGATAAGGAAAAGAGCCTGTAGCAAAAGATTGAAGAGCATGTCAGCAATTATCTTGCTGACACTAGGGAATGGATGAGGCTTCCTCCCCGATACCTCAAATGCTAGGTCAGCAATATCTTGAAACCAAATGGCATTCACAACTTTGCTAAGCACAAACAGGGGAAGCACCCAAAGAGCACTGAAAATTGATGTGAGGAAGAATTCCAGCCACGACCAAACATCTCCATGTAGTGATGGATCCCCAATAATTCGGGCTGTTACTGACTGAAGCACAGGAATAAACACACGGTAAAACAAGAGGAGACTGAACCAGAATACTCCACCATTCCAAGCACAGCACTGGAAAATTCTACTAACAATACGTGGCTCACTCTCTTGCTTCCGCTTTATACTCTGGGCTCTCCTCTGTGCCAGGACACTACTTGCCCTTCTTCGATGTTGCTCCTCTCTTTTCTGCTGGATTCGAGCATCTAGCTTTGAGATGGTACAAATACCCCAGATGGAGTCTTTGATTCCCCTGCCAAGGTCCTGGAGAAAGGTTTTGACACTGTCAGCCATCTCCTCACCACCCAGACTGTCAACTACACAGAAGAGAGAGAAGCACCCCAAAATCTCTCATCATGAAGGACCAGCAGCTCCCTCGCCCACCGCGGACCGTCTCGGCCCCTCTGCGCCTGGCCGCCCGCCGGGGCGCTCCCAGGGCCAGGCCGCTGCGCCCGCACTGTTGAATGGGTTCTTGATTGTTGCTGTGATTATCTGAAGATACTGGACTCCCACTTCTTCACTTTTCCAAAACAGATTCTCCAGAATCTCTTTGGTCTCAGATTAGGGTAGCACCATTGACCCTCTTATTCTGGAGCTTCAGCCTTTTGGACTGCACAGCTAGTGGTTCTTCCAGCTCTCCAGCTTGCAGTCAGCCATTGTGAAATATCTAAGATGAGAAATTGTGAGATCTTTCCTCTCTGCTATTCCCCTAATCTGGTTCCTTTAAAAATACTGGAGAAGTGATGAAAAATACAATCCAGGAAACTGCCCTGAGTTTTGTGGGACAATGATAGGAAAAAGGACTCCTGCTCCTCTCGAAGATGAGAGATAGCCAGAGGAGATGAGACCATAATTCATACTTACTAACAATAACAGGGATAATTCTCTATAGAAATTGAAAAAAAAAAATTGGAGCTGAAGGTCGGACTCAGGTCTCAACCTAGGTTAACTCAGTGGCATGATGACCTCCCTGCCCATGGTCCTGAAGACAGGACCAGCCCTGGTAATGCTTGTCCCTGGTATGCGTGGCCCGGGTTTGATCCTCAACACCACATATAAACAAAGATGTTGTGTCCCCCGAAAACTAAAAAATAGTGACCAGCGTTTTCCCCTCCTGATTGGTTGAGGCACATTGGTCATCCCTGGTGATCTGGCTACTCTTCCTGCAGCCCCATGGGTGGAACTATGCTCATTTGTTCCTTTGTGATATTAACCCCTTGCCCTGTTTGGAATGGAATGTTCCTTGGAAACGTCCTTTGTGTGTCCCCTTCTCTTACTCTGCCCTTGGGTGTGGCCTTCCTAGATGTTAGTCAACCTGCTGACAGCAGATATCATGAAGCTGGACTCAGCCCCCTGAAATCTGACCCCTTGCCACATTTGAATGGCTTCTCCTCAATTAAAAGGGGTCAGCACGCACTCCCGGGCTCTCTCTCTTTCTGCGGACCCTTAAGGTCAGAGGAGCCCTCACAGGAAGCCCAACTCCGACAGCGACAGCGGAGAGAGCAGCTCCCAGAGCGGCGGGGAGCGTCAGGGCCGTGGCCTGAAGAAAAGAGAGCCACGGCTGTCGCGGCTGCCCGGAGAGCCCCGGCGGCCACATCTCCAGCCCTCCCACAATTTAATTAACACATCAACCATATTCTATGGGACAAATGTCCAGATTCTGTTTTTCCCTAGGGAAAGAAGCAGCTACATCCCAGCGAAACAAACTAAATCAGGAGTGAATGCCAAGTTTCTGATCATGACTAAAAGGCTCAGGGATCGCTCCAATTGAACTGGGCTAATTGGGCTGCGCAAAATAACCACACAAGAGGCACAAATACCTTTTTCTGGGCCTTGCCCTCCCTCGCTCCACCCTGCGGCTATCAGCGCTGGCAGTCCGTCTCCTCTGGAACCCTTAGGCCCATGGCCAAGCGGCTTGCGGCTTGCGGCTGAGCCGCTGACGTTCCACGTGCCTTGGAAGCGGCTCCAGCTCTGCGACTTCACCGAGGAGCCAACGCCTTAGATCTGGATCCCGCCGTTGGGGCCCTCGCATCCTGGGCTACCGCGAAAGCGCAAAATCGACTCAGGGGCCAAGTCAGAGCCTTCGGCTTCGTCCAGCAAGCGCCGCGACATGCTGCCCGGAGGGCCCCGGGGGCCAGGGGAGGAGCCCCAGGACGCCCAGCCCCCTGTGGTTGGTGTTGACCACGGGGAGGGACGCACAGGGTCTCCGCGGCAAGACTGGGGGGCCGCACCGCTCCAGCACAATGAAGAATTTTGGCTGTATAATACTTTCCAGTACTGGAGAGATCATTTACCACCTGTTGATCTGTCAGACATCGAAGATGTGAGTGAAAACAACCAGACAGAAGCAACACTTGACCGCAAGAATGAAGTGGTTGAGATTTATATGGAGTCCTGACATAAAGAGCAGAAGAAATGGGATTTCCTGAATTTGAGGAGACATCTTTAAGTGAATTCATGTATTTTTTAGGAAAAAGTTGTTTTCCATACTTGATTTCCAAACCTGAAAAATGAGGAAAGGTTGTTTTGAAGATAAGTGCCTGTAGTTACTACTGACCTACTAATAGGGATTTGTCAACAATATAGCAGAGTGGTAGGCAAAATATTTATGCATATATTTTTAAAGAAGCAAGTTTTGTTTAGGTTCTGACTTTTAAGAAACTGATCTTACAAAAAAGGATTCTAGAAGTTTTAGAAATGCATGGAAAATACTCAAATCTTTCTCTCATCTGCACCAAAAAGTTTGTGGCTCATGAATATCATTTTATAATAACTTATTAATAAAATAATTTCTAATACATCTTACTGACTCTTTTTAGTTGAACAAACAACTGACTTGAACATCTATGCAAAATTAAAATGTGGGGATTCTTTGAAAGCTAGTATTATTTTTTAAGTTTTGTAAAAATAAAAAGTAGTGAGAATTTCAATTCGAGTTTAAATAACTTCCAATATTTGATATTTGTTGAACTCTATTATGGTTAATCAAAAATGGATAAAGAAAAGTGACCTCCATTTCTTTAATGTGCAGACAGGGTTGAGAACCACTAGATCAATGTTAGTATTCCTGTTTAAAGGAAATTACTAATTTGAACTGAAACAATGCCTGTTAATTAGCTTTGTTTTTATTATTCTCCATTGATGACTTTGTCACAAGTAATTTATAGTGTTGCTGTCACTTTTCATTGTTAAAAAAATAAAGCAATTTGTTTTGTAGTTAAGTATCAATGACTAAGTTAATTAACATATGTACTGCATCCAGAATATTGGCTTTGTAATTTAGTAACTTGTCCTTACTTGTATATATATATTTTTTGTTGGTGATGACAGTAAATCCAAAATTCAGAAAAGGTAGTAAATGCTAGAGGGGAAATTTTTGACATTTTGTATGTACTGCAATATTTAAATATGGGTTGACAATAAGAACAGAAGACAGTGTCTGTCATTGTGGTCAGAAATGGTTTTAAAGACTGTACTGCCACTTTCTACCTATGTAGCATTAAACAAGTTATTTTTCATCTCTTAAAAAAAAATAACTTTTTCATTGGGGTCACTGTGACAGCTCCTCCGACCTTAAGGGTCCAAAGGAAGAGAGAGAGCAAGAGTACGCGGTAACCCCTTTTATTGAGGAGAAGCTATTCAAATGAGATAAGGGGCCTGGTTTCAGGGGGCTGAGTCTATCTTCATAATGTCCACTGTTAGCAGGTTGACTGACATCTAGGTAGGCCACATCCAAGTGCACAGTAAGAGAAGGGTACACACCCAAGGCACTTCCATGGAAGACTCTATCCTAAACAGAGCAAGGGGTTATATTACAAAGGAACAGATGAGCATAGCTCCACCCATGGGGCTTTAGGAAGACAAGCCCAGGCACAAAGACAGTCACTCAAACCCTAGAAGAGTGGGGCAGACTAGCAGCATGGGTGCCTGAGGCCACATGGCCCAGCAGGGGAGTTAACTCAAGTTTCTCACAAATGAAGACATTCTAGCCTCACATCTGCTACACAGGAAAGTTGACTGAAGAAGAGAACAGGGCAGTATGGGGAGGGGTCTTAGTGATCAGGGATGCGCTCCTCTTGGTTTCCTTACATTAGGATGATAGGAACACAGACACATAGTCAGAAAGAGAAGTTGGGACCTCTTGAAACTGTAGTAGGGAGCAGGAAGAGAACTGAAGAAATCCTGTGTTGCTCAGTCCCACAGAAGACAGCTAGCTGTCTCACACTATAAATGAAGGTATTATGAACAAATTCAGATCACTCATTGTAATGCAGACACTCTGAACAACCTATTAAACATTCAAAATGTCAGAAATTCCTAGGAGAGTCCTGTAACCCAGGAGTCTCTCCATTTCCCAATCCCTCTCTCTCTCTTCCGGCCCCCCAGGGTCTTACCTTTTTAAGTCGTGAGAGACACATCAGAGCTCTGGGCACTGTCATTCCCTGAACAGAACAAAAACAGAACATGGTTAAAACAGAACATGGTTAGAGCCCACACGAGATGCGGAAAATGGAGAAATTATGGGATGGATCAGCTCCCAACTACATCACTATCCCAAGGGTCTCAGGGCTCACTGTTCTTCATACTTACAGAGAGCTGGAGCATAGGGCCCTTTTTTTATACCTGTGGGAAGAAAACATCCTGTGAGAGAGCAGGTTAAAAACAGGTCTTAGAGGTACCCCCTAGTCCTGGACACTGGGGACATTTCTAGAACTGTGACTACAGATGTAGGGAAGGACCAGGAGACTAGAAGAAAATAGATGTATAGTGATGGAGCCAACTGCTCTGCTGGAGGTCTGTCCTCAGCAGGGAAATTCCCCTCTGGCCTCTGAATGCCAGAGGTGTAAGAGTCAGTTCCCCATCACTGCAAAAATCAGGGGAAATTTTTCTCCATTTTTTTCCCATGTGCTTTACAAAAGAGTAAACAAGTCCAGTATTGGAGGCCATATATAAATTATGGGTTTCTTGGAGCCATTAAGGCAGGGAAGCTGCTTCTCTGGGAACTCCTGGGTGAAATTCACCCATTCAAGAAAGCCCAGATCATGCTGGTGCCATGTCTTAGCTCCCAGCCTTAGGATCAAACAGCCTCCTGGAGATGGGCGTAATCTGCCAAACACCAAAGAACCTGTTTACTGCCAAACCCAGAAACAAGACTCCTCCCACACTGAAACCTCATCCCTGCCTTTGATGTACTCTCCCTTAAATAAAGAATTAGGGCATCAACAAATATATAAAAAAATGTTCAACATTGCTAGTAATTAGAGAAATGCAGATCAAAACTACTCTAACTTTTTGTCTCACTCTAGTCAGAATGATAGCTATTAAGAATACAAGCAACAGTAAGTGTTGTAGAGGATGTGAAGAAAAGGCACACTCATACATCACTGGTGGGACTGCAAATTGGTGCAGCCAATCTGGAAAGCACTATGGAGATTCCTTAGAAAACTTGGAATGGAACCACCATTTGACCCAGCTATCCCACTCCTTGTTCTATACCCAAAGGACTTAAAAATAGCATACTACAGTGATGCAGCCACATCAATGTTTATAACAGCACGATTCACTAGCCTACCTAGATGCCCTTCAATAGATGAATGGATAAAGAAACTGTGGTATATATACACAATGGAATATCACTCAGCATTAAAAGAGAATAAAATTATGGCATTTGCAGGTAAATGGATGGAGCTGGAGAATATAATGCTAAGTGAAGTAAGCCAATCCCCAAAAACCAAAGGCCAAATGTTTTCTCTGAAAAGTGAATGCTGATCCATAATGGGGGTGGGAGGTGGGAGCATGGCAGGAATAGAGGAATATTGGATAGGGCAAAGGGGAGGGAGGGGAAGCGAGGGGCATGGGGGTAGGAAAGATGATGGAATGAGGTGGACATCCTTTCTCTAGGTACATGTATAAAGACATGAATGGTGTGACTCTACATTGTGTACAACCAGAGAAATGAAAAATTGTGCTCCATTTGTGTACTATGAACACATTCTGCTGTCATGTATAACAAATTAGAACAAATTAATTAATTAATTAAAAAAAAAAGAATTGGGGCCTTTTTCGTTTGTTCAGTTCAGTTCCTATCAGGGCTGGAAGACCCATCAGGAACTCCACTTTTTTTTTTAATAAAAATATTTAATTTTTCATTGTAGATGGATATTTTCCTTTATTTTATTTATTTATTTTTATGTGCTGTTGAGGATCGAACCCAGGGTCTCACACGTGCTAGGCAAGTACTCTACTGCTGAGCCACAAGCCCAATGCCAAGGAATCCCGTTTTTTAAATCTAATCTTTGTCTTTGTCTTTATTTCTTACTGATTATTTCAGACTTTTCATTTTCCCATGCAGCTCACACCTCCTGAGCAGGAAACTGCTCTGCTGGGGCGCTGGTCACCCCGTCAATCTAGGCTGAATAAGCACATGTGGGTAGATATTACTTCCCATTACCAAGGCAGGGCACACTTCTACCAGGTACTTGAGACCACCAGTGGGACAAAAATTCGACCGTGCACTTTCCCTACCTGTGTTTTTCTTTCTCCACAAGACAAAACCGACCATAGCTCCAGTGACAACAAGGACAATCACAGCAGCAACAATTCCCAAGATGGGGATGGTGGCCTGAGGGGGTGGCTCTGTGAGGGAAAGAGAAGTCAGTTGAGGGGCCCTGATCCCCAGGCTCTCAGTCCATACCCTGCTGAGGGTCTTCAGAAAGCCTCCTGCTTGCTTCCTGACAACAGGCTCCGGGCCTTCATCTTACCCCATCTCAGGGTGAGGGGCTCAGGCAGCCCCTCATGATGTACATGGCATGTGTATCTCTGCTCCTCTCCAGCAGGCACCACCACAGCTGCCCATTTCTGGAAGTTTCCATCCCCTGCAGGTCTGGTCTCCACAAGTTCCATGTCCTGGGTCTGGTCCTCCCCAT